TCCCTTCAGCTGTTCCCCCCCTCACACAGAGTGGGAGGGATCACTCCTACCTTGCCCACCACTGTGATGTCAGACAAGGCTTTAGAGCAATTTGAGGGATCTGTAAATTGTGTCTGTGGCTGCTAAGGTCTGTTCCCTTTCTATACCCATGGTGGTAAGGAAGGAGGTACCACTCTTCCTCCTCAGCTAAGCCACTGTTTTCAGTGGGATCCTTCATTTAGAGCAAAATCCAGTCTCCTCTCTGCAGTAAGAGACCCTTGTGTGCAGAGGAAGGGCCACTGGTCTTGAGAGACGATTTGCAGAGCTTCTGGGTGATCTGCAGTGTCCAGCTGCAGAGCCTCTCCTGGGGAGTCTGAAACCCCTTCTCAGTCTGGTGGGTGGCTAGTTATTGTATACTCTACCAAAAGAGTGGCCACTGGGCTGTTGACAGTGTGGCAGTAGGCAGCCTCTCTGAGAGGCCTTGCAGGTATCCTCTGCACCTCCTTAGCGAGCACACGCTTTGAGGAGCAGGGCACTGCCAGTGGTCCTCCAGAGGCTCCATGGACCCCTTGAAGGTGACTGTGGCTGGTCACTGAGTTCTTGTTCTCAGCTTCCTGCTGATCTACCTTAAATCCTTTTGAGTGAACCGTATTTCGGTGAGTTTGAGCTTAGTTTGTCAGTAAGTGTCTCCTTTTGAGAGGGAAATCTACGTGGTCACCTCTCTTTACCTTGTCTGCTGACCTGGCTTTTTTTTTTTTTTTTTGGTTTTTCTCCGGTACCAGGAACCGAACTCACGACCTTGCGCTTGCCAGGTAGGCGCTTTGCTGCTGAGCTAAATCCCCAGCCCCTTGACCTGGCTTTTTAAAAAGCGTTGCAGTTTGGATTTGCCATGGTGGTGATTACTGGCCAGTCATGAACTAACAGTGACAGGTAGACAGTTGATGAGAAAGGAATCAAATTGTCACTTGGGGTTATTTTTGGTTTCTTCTTCTAATCTGTATCTGAGCATATGGGCTAGTAGCTGAAATAATTTAACTGTGACAGAATGTATTTCAGAAGGGCAGACTTAAAAACAGCCTATTTTCTTTTTTCTTCCATAGTAATATTTTTATACCTCTGTTTAAAAATATGTTAGCCACTTAAATTATATGAAGGCAGCCTTGGCCATTTAACAGCATATGTGGCGTTTACTCTTTGATTTTCACCTGGTTTGTGTGTGTAAGCATGTTTTTGTGTGGTGTTTCATAGTTCAGACATGTTAGCACAGGTGGTGATTATCTTTATGTTGGACTCAGGGGTCAGTGTGGGAAAAACTAGCCTCTGTAACTCAGTTCTTAGGCTCTGTGCATGAGTAGCTTTCTAGCACAGCAGCAGTCCGCCCGCCTAGGGTGGTCTGGACAGATCTCCGCTACCACGGAGTCTTACGGCATTGGTAAACATACTGGCTTTAGGTAAGCTATGCACCAGTGTTCTCATGGCCCTCTTCTGAAAGATAGAATCGAGTTCTTCTTCTCCATGGGGCACTGGGCATAGGGACCATTTGATGAGATGGCCGGAAGGACAATGACTAGGTCATATTAGACCCTTGGTGTCTCCTTGCTCTTGGTGTACCTCGCTGTCCCCTGTATGGGGAGCCAGCCACTGTGTTGGGTCACAATGAACAGCCCTGTGGAGAGGTCTCTTGGAGGCTATGGAGGCCTCTGGTAGTGGTCATGCTCACTTTTATTTATCCTTATTTCTGAACAGATACAATTGTAGCTGGAATTATAATGAAGGATATTCTTTTAATAATGAATTCAGTTACTTAACTGCAGTTTCTGAAGACAGTGTCAGTAAAACGTCATTGGCATGGTATGTGCTTGGAGACAGGGCGTATGGCACCTGTGCCATCTAATCCTGACAGTGAGAAGAGTTGCTAGTCCATTCTGTGGGTTTCACACAGGGCCTTAATTCTGACTTAGACTGCTTCTTCTGTGCACCATGTAAGAACGGTGTGGACAGGACCATATGCAGATATCTGATAACCGTAACTACCAGGGTGGTAAGTTAGTTAGTGAGAGGGGAGAGGCTCAAGTTCTCATTGTCTGGGAAAGAATCCCAGTGCCCTAGTTCAGGCCATCTGGCTTATTCTGGGGGTGGCACGTGGATGTGTCCGGCACTCTGGTTCATGTGGTAAAGGCACACAGCCAGCAGCCTTCTCCACATGATGTTTCTTGATTTGGCTGGCAGCAAATCCCAGACCTCTGGCACAATCTCCCCAGCAGAGCTCAGCTTTCTGTGAGAACTTCTGGTCCTCTCTTCTGTTCATGTTTCTGGTGCAGCTCGTCTCCCTGTGGTAAGTCATTCTGCACACTCTTTGACGGTCGGGAGACAGAGCAGAGCCTGATCTATGTGCTGGCAACCAGAGCAAGCTTACAGGATTATAGACTTTGAATTCATCGCAGCTTCTGATCCAGTGTAAACCACACAGTCCTTTTCTAATCTCAACCAGTTCACACTTGTCACAGCAAAGAGGACCTATCAGTCACTGTGTCATTTCCCATCTAAAGGGAGAGAGCACTCAGCTTGGTGGCCAGCCTGGATGGCAGTGGATCCCAGGTGTGAGGGCCTTCTCTGTATGTTTGCCTCTGGCCCCTTGCCGTTTTTAGGCAGAGCTGGTGCGTGTGATTGTGGGAGGGCTGTGGAGACACCTTCCCTTGGGGAGTGGGCAGAGCCAGTGAGAGCAGTATGCAGGACAAGGGCTCTTTTCAGCTGCACTTGTTTTTGAGCAGCTACACTTTGTGCTCTGGGGAAGCAGGAGAAATATGGGACAACTCTGGTACCTGCCTAGGGCTTGGGATCCTCTTGAATACCATGTGCTTGGCACAGGTAGTGATTATGAAAGAGCTCCAAGTGCCAATGAACTCATCTGCTTCCGAGAGTGCTGGGCCCACTGGGCCAAGGCAGTTTCAAAGAAGCTGGTAATTTACAGAGGCTCCACGGCATTGGCCAGGCCTAACCAGAGCCACACTGCACCTCCTTCATTCCCAAGTCCCTCCAGCGTGGGCTCCTCCTGGCTGGCTGGCTGTGCTTGGTCCACACGCCTATCCCTCTGATCTCTGCTCACCACATGAATGATGTGTGTATCCAGAGCCCCAGGGCCACCTCCTGAAATTAAGGTTCCCTGGGGGGTCTAGACCATAGCCAGCCTCATCAGGCCCTACCATCGGCCACTCATATTACTTCTCAGAGACTCGCTTCAGCCTCTTAGCAGCTGTGTGACCCAGACAAGTTGTTTAACCTTTCTGGAGTCCTCGTTGTAAGGCAGGAGTTATGAAGTGCCGGGGTTGCTGCTGGCTGAGCAGTGCTCATGCAGAGTGCTAGTCCTCCTGCCTAGTCTTCTGCACAGCTTGAGTTTGTGGTGGGTGTGGCTCTTGGGGAGGGCTGAGAAAGGGAGGTGGGGGGGAATGCTGACTTTTTAAAAAAGCTGATAGTTGACCTGAAAAGATTGATTTGGTAAATGCCAGAGATAATGACTTGATTATAGAGTCACAGCCCCAGGGGCAAGATTGGCTTTTGGTTTTGCTTGACTATAAGGTTAAATAGCTTGATTCAGTAGACAGTGTATGTTGGAAGCCAGATGCCTATGGGGGAAAATTATCAGCCACAAAATACAACAAGCAAGTGACAAAATAAAAATCAGTGCTTAATTAAAAGTTCACCAGCATGGCTCTGGCAGCTTCATTAAACCTGCTGATTTAGTCTTCACACAGAGTCCTTCTGCTGTGAGGCCTGTTGGTCAGTTAGCTTCCCTCACTGCTGCAATTCACCAGGGCTGCTGTGGAATCATTGCCAGTAGTAAATTGGAAGTTTATTTATAACCAAATAGTCTCAAAAGCTAGTTACACATATCTTTTCAGAATTTTTTTAGAGCAAAAACATTTTTAAATGGGGATACGAATGTATTTCAGTACACTTGTTACTGTGTGTGTTTGGGCCTTTTAAAGTACAGGGAGCCTGAGGGCTTGAGAAGAGGCCTCAAGCCCAGTAGCAAGGCCGGGAGCCTTGGGGCCCTGATTCTGTCTTGGGTGCCCTCCTGCCAAGCTCGGTCAACACACTGTGGAGGCCACAGGAGGAAAGGCTGAAGGGTCTCTGGGCTGGCTTCCCTCTAGTTAGTGTACCTTTCAAGCAGAAAGGCAGAGCAACCTGTGGCGCAGGCCCCTAGCCCAGGCCCTGAGGACCACCCCTTGCAGATACTGCTGTACGTGTCAGAGAGCCAGTACCACGAAGGGCACACAGCCCACAGTGGTCTCGAGGGTAGTGGGTGCCAGGACCCGTGGCCAGCTGGTAGAGCCCTCAGAGGGCAGCATCCAGGGATGTCTGCTCAGGAAATGATCAGACAGCAGTGCTGTGCCCATGGGATGTTTCTGATTTGGATTACTAATAGAAACCTTTCTTATTTTACTCACAGAAATCAGACTCAAGTGAGTGGAAAATGCATTTAGTTCTGTGGCCATGGAGCTGTTACTTAATGTTGATAAATTAGAGCAAATTGTTCGCCCAGATGAGTGGCATGAATTCCATCAGAACGCAGGTCTTGCTCAGGTTTTGCACTGGGCCCTAGCTGCAGCTCTGTTCCATGGCAGTCCTGCTGTGACCCCTGGGACCTCGCGCTGTGTCTAGGCAGTGGGATTAAATAAGGTCTGTTAACACTTCTGGTGGAGTTCAGAGGGACCCAGGGGAGGAGCTATACACCATCTGAGGGCCAGAGAACCACCAGCATTCAGAGCCTTTGGCCACCTGTATCCTTGTCTTCCTTACCTTCAGAGCACTGGGAGTTCTGCCGAAATCCTTCCATGGTGGAAAGGCCACCCCCATGCATCTTGACCACCTAATGACTCTGCAGTGGGGTCATTAGGATGGGCTTTCCCTGTTCACTGTGTGTCTCCAGAGCTGGTATCAGAAGACACAGAATGCATGGAACTGACGATTGAAGGTGTGTTCAGAACCAACAGACTTACTTGGTGTGTTTGTTTCCCCAGGAGGACTGGAATGAAATTGACCCTATTAAAAAGAAAGACCTTCACCACAGCAATGGAGATGAGAAAGCACAGAGCATGGAGACCCTCCCTCCAGGTACTATACCAGGGCCCTGTGCCCATGTCACTGCGAGTGGCCTGAGTATAAGGTGTGGAGCTTGGGTTCTAAGAGCCAGCTGGACATGGCTTAGGGCACTGCTTTGCTTTTCTTTCGTCAGCTCCATTTGCGGGTGGTAAGATTAAAAGTTTAGTGGGAGGTGACCCAGATTTGTTGAAAGCAAAAATAGAGTAAAACAAAACATAGAATGTATGTGCTCGTTCATGAAATGTTAAAAGACAGACTATGTTTTAGGGCAGTTTTAGGTTCGCAGCAAAATGGAGGAAGGTATGGAGGGTTTCCATGTGCTCCCTGTCCTTCCACGGTACAGCTTCCCTCACTTTTTACATCCTGCACAGAGAGGGATATTTGTGACAGTCCACAGACCCACGTGGCCTCCAGGCTATGACTTGGAGTGCACACCATGGCTCATGCTTAGTGGTATATGTTCTTTGGATTATGTTATGGTGTATATCTAGATGTCCCCCCAAAAGCTTCATGCAGTCATGAGTAGGACTTTTGAGAGTGACTTGATACCAGATTAGTCCACTGATGGGCTTATCATAGCTGTCATGTGGATGAGGGACTTACCAAAGAGGGAAGACCCATCCTTGGTGTGGGTGGCACCAACCAGTAGGTCTGGATGGAATAGAAAGGAAGAGAAGAAGGAAGACTTGCTGCTTCCTGCCTGCCTGTCCATGAGCTCTTTCTCCTCTGCCGTGTCCCTTTGCCATGCCGTCCTGTTTTGGAGCCAGGCAACTGTAGGCTAAAATCTCTACAAACTGTGATCTAAAGTACACCTTTCCTCCTTTAACTTGTGGGTGTCAGGTATATTGTTCCAGCAGTGAGAAAGAAACTAAGACAAGTTATGACAAATGGAGCCATCACTGTAGCATCACAGAACAGTTTCACTGCCCTGAAAATCCTGAGTGCTCCCTGTGTTTATCCCTTCTCTCAGTCTCAGCAACCAGAGGTCTTTCTACTGTCTCTGTGCTTTTGCCTTTTCCAGGATATCATACAATTGGAATCATATACTAGGGAGCTTTTTCAGATTGGCTTCTTGTACTTAAGGTTTCTCTGTGTGGCACATTTAGTTTTAGTGCTGGATAATATTGCATTGTCTAGATGTACCACAGCTTATTTTTCCATTCACCTTGTAAAGGACATGTTGGTTGCTTCTGAGTTTGGGCAATTATGAATAAAGCTACTATAAATATCTGTGTGCAGGTTTTTGTGTAGGCATAAGTTTTTAAATCATTTCAGTAAATATCAGGGAGCACAACATATGGTAGGAATATGTTCAGTTTTGGAGGAAATTGCCAGACTGCCCTCCAAAGTGGCTGCTCCATTTTGCACTCTTACCAGCATTTGGTGTTGTCAGTGTTCTAGATTTTTTTATGTGCAAGTGTGTAGTAGTATTTCACTGTAGTTTAAGTTGCAGTCTGGTATATCTTTGGTGATGTGTTTCAGTCATTTGCCCATGTTCTGAGTTCTTTGGTTTTTATTCTGTTGAGTTCTAAGAGTTTTGTATATAAATGTACTGGGGTGTCTTAGTTATATTTCTCATTGCTGAGACCCACAGTTAAAGCGGGAAAGGTTTATTTAGCTTATAGTTTGTAGAGGTTTCAGTCCGTAATCGACTGGCTCTAAGGTAGGTGGCTTCATGGAGGAGAGCAATTCATGGCAGGCAGAAGACAGCAAAAGCAGTGAGAGAGAGAGAGAGGGAGTGCTAGAGCTTTCTGTCCATTGTATTGTATGCAGGCTGTGGGTATAGGAGTCACAGCCTTAATCCCAGCATTGCACCACGAGTCAATCACACACTCTAGGTTCAGCTACCTCTGAAAAATGCTATGACCAGATGAGGCTTTGGGGGGACATCTAGACACAAACCGTAACATGGGGTAAAAGTCCTTTATCATATGCTTTTTGAAAATATTTTTTCCTTGTGTAGCATATCTTCTCATTCGCTTGGTCTAATGTCTTTTGTAGAGCAACTTTAGATTTTATTGCAGTCTAGCGCATCTGTTGTTTCTTTCATGGGTCATGCCTTTGGTGTTGTCTTTAAAAAGTTATAAAAACAAGGTCACCTGGACTTTCTTCTTGTTACCTTCTAGGAGTTTTATAGTTTAGGTTTTTGTGAGGGATGTAAAGTTTAGATCCATGCATTTGCCTGTGTATGTCCACTCGGTCCAGGAACATTTCTTGGAAGTATCTTATTCCTTGTATTTCTTTTTGGTTTTTTTTTTTTTTTTTTGCTTTTTTGAGACAAGGTCTCACTGTGTAGTTCAGGCTGGCCTTGAACTCACTTTGTAGCCCAGGCTGGCCTTGAACTCCTAGCAATCCTCCTGCCTCAGCCTCCTGAATACAGGTATTACAGGCGTGCGCCACCATGACAGGCTTCATTGTATTTATTTTGATACTTTATCAAAGATCAGCTGACTATATGTATATTTCTCTGGGCTTTCTGTTCAGTTCATTTGAGGTTTTTGTTGTTGTTGTTGTTTGTTTTGTTTTGTTTTCCGATACTGCACTATGGAGGTAATTGTAACCTTACAGTATCTTGAATTAGACTAGGGTCAATCCTCTGGCTTTTTTCTTCTTTAAGACAGCATCGGCACTTCTGGATTTCTTTGTTGTTGTTTGTTTTGTTTTCCAATACTGCACTGTGTAGGTTATTGTGAACTTTAGAATCACTTTATTGATAGCTGCAAAGCAACTTGCTAGGGTCTTGGTCAGGATGGCATTAAACCTTAGATCAAGTTGGGAAAACTAATATCTTGACAACATTGTATCTTCCTATCTGAACGCAGAATATCTCTTTTTCAGTTAGTTCTTTGATATCTTTCATCAGTTTTGTTGTTTTCTTCAAACAGATTTTCTGTATATTTTATTAGATTTTAACATAAGCATTTCACTTTTGGGTGGTATTAAGTAAATTACATTGTGTTTTTAATTTCAAATTGTACTTGTTTCTTGCTAAATATAGGAAACCAACTTTTGTATATTAACTTTGTATTATAGTCTTGCTATAATTGCTTCTACATATTTTGTTGATTTGTTCAGATTTTTGTACACAATTTTATTTTTCCCTTCCCAGTCTCTGTGCCTTTTGTTTCTTCTTGTTTTCCTACATTAACTAGGACTTTCAGAGGAGCGTTGAAAAGAAGCTGTCAGAGGGGACACCCTTGCCTTGTTCCTGATCCTAGTGGGGCAGTTGGGAGTGTCTCACCATTACTGTGGTGTTGTGGATTTGTTGCAGATGTTCTTTATCAAGTTGAGGAAGTTCTTCTCTATTCTTAGTTTGCTGATAGTTTCTCTCATGAAGAAGTGCTGGGTTTTGTTGAATGCTTTTACTGCATCTGTTGATAGGCTCATATGACTTTATTCTTTAACCTGTTGATGTTATGGATTACATGAATCGATTTGTCTTTGTCTAGCCAGTCCCACTGAGCTAGGAAAAATCCCACAAATCTATAATCCATGCTATACGTTGCTGGGTTTGATTTACTAATATTTTGTTGAGGAGTTTTGCCTGTGTTCACAAGAGATGTTATTCTATAGTTTTGTTTCCTTTTTCTTTTTGGCTTTCTTTTTTTTCTTAAAAGACATGGCCTGATAGGATTGAATTTCTGATCCTCTTAGCCTCCCCAGGTGCTGGAATTACAGGCTTGCATCACTATTCACCTGGCTGTAGTTTTGTTCTCTAGTAACATCTTTGTCTAGTTTAGGGCAATGCTGACCTCATAGAATGAGTTAGGAAATACTTACTGTCCCATTTTCTGGAAGAGATTGTAGAGAACTGGTATAATTTCTTCCTTAGACGTTTGGTGGAATATACCTGTGAACACATCTAGTACTTTGTCTTTGTAAGTTATTAATTCCTGATTCAGTTTCTTTAATAGATATAGACTTACTCAGATTATGTATTTCTGCTTGCCTGTGTTTTGGCAGATTGTAAAATAATTGATTCATTTCCTCGAGGCATAGAATTATTCATACTATTGTTTTTAATGTCTATGGAATCTGTAGTAAAGTTTCTTCTGACATTAATTTGTGTCTTCTCCCTTTTTCACTCAGAAGAGCCTCACTGACAAGAGGCTTATCATTTTTATTGATTTTGATTGATTTTTCTGTTGATTTCCTCTTTTCACTAACATTGGTTTTTGCACTAATTATTTTCTCCTGCTTACTTTTCATTTCAATTTCGCTTTTTCTAGTTCTTTTTCAGAGTGAAAGTATAGATTCCTGACTGAAGTTGATGATGTAATTTTTTGCAAGAACTGTTTTTATTGTATCCTGTAGAATTTTCATTAATTTTGAAAATGTTTTAATTTTTTCTTGAGATTCCCTTGACCTATGTTACTGAGAAATGTGTTATTTAATTTCTTTAAGTATTTTGGAAAATTTCCAGCTATATTTCTAGAATTCCTTTTTTTTTGTTTGTTTGAGAAAGGGTCTCATGTGCAGTTTAGACTGGCCTTAAACCCACTGTGTAGCCCAGCCTGACCTTGAACTCATGGTGATCCTCTTGCCTGAGCCTTCTGAACGCTGGGATGACAGGCATGTGCCACCACACCCAGCTAATATAATTCCTTTTTGATCTGAGACCAGACATTGTATGATTTCTGTCCTTTAAATTTTACTGAGGTGTGTTTTATGTCCCAGATTGTGTCTGTCTTAGAGAACGTTCTTTGTCAGTTTGAGGAGAAAGTATATCTTTTTTTTTTTTTTAACACTTACAAATGTATGCTTTAATAAGTATAAAGTATATGAACAATTAGGTAAGCTTGCAGAGAAGCTGACCAAGATACATAAATTAGAAGAGCCAGGTATCCATCTAACTTTTCTATATTTCTTTTTTTATTTTTTTGCAAAATATTTATTAAGGTTATTTAATATACAACTTTTCACATGTCATTTTGGAAGTCCTTCATTATAAAGGTAATTCTTTTGTCTGATGACAAACTGCAGCCACAATCATTACTCAGGACCTCCATGTT